GAGTGTGTGTGTCTCACAGTCATCTCTGATTCCCTCAGAAGTTCTTCCACTAAAAATCTAGGTCATTCATAGTCTTCTGTCTTCTAAGCTGCATCATTATTTGAGATCTGAGAAAATACATGGAATCAGACAGAGTCTAAGAAAGATTTCTAATGAGATATAAGGGAGATCATGCCAATAATTTACATTACGTATCATGGGACCCATTTTCATACATAAATGCAAAGTAAACTTAAATCATGATATGAAAATATTGTAGGAAAATATAATATAGTAATACTGATACTAGCGATCAAAGAAAGCCTAAAAAAACTACCCCTCTAAGACAAACAGATGTTCATAAACATGACCCCCAGAAATACAGGTACCAGGATTCCATGATTTCACAAACAGTTTCTACCATTCTTCTAACTATCAGAGAAGCCAATGTTGTTCTATCAGTTTAACACCATTGAGTGTTTACCAGAGGTCTCTACACCTACCTTTGCTACTTTTCAACTGGGAGCACTTGCTGCTCATGCAATTAAATGAAGACACAAAATTTATGAGCCAAAAGTCACTTCTATGGATTTACCAACAGACAAATACACAATTTCAATAGGGCCCTCTATCCATTCCACCTGTGAGGGTTCTTCGCCCACGTGGGAAGATAGAGGGACCACAGTCCACATAGCATCACACCTACTTCTGATACCAACTCCAAGTCTGAAGTTCCTAGAGCCACCCTTAGTTTAGAGAATTCTATAAAAATACTCACAGAAACCAATGAGAGCTGTTATACTCACTGTTATGGTTTACTACAGAGAAAGGATACAGATTAATATCACACAGAGAAGAGATGATTAGAGCAGAGTCCAGGAAAACTACCAAATGGAAAGCTCTAGTGTCCCCTCTCCAGGAAGTGATGGATGTATTTCTTGCCAGGCATTGATATTTGACAATACTCATATTATATTGCTACCAGGGATGGTAACCCAAGCCTAGGAGCTCACACATTTTACTAAAGCTCGATCACATACTGTCTGGCATTCAGTCTCCTCTTCTTGTGAAGTCTGGCTGATAGCTTTATTTATTTATTCATTATTTTTTCTTTTGACAGATAGAATCTGAGTGGAGGAGAGAGACAGAGGGACAGAGAGAGATAGAGACAGACAGACAGACAGACAGAGAATCCTAAGCAGGCTCTATGATCAATGCAGAGCCTGATGCAAGGCATGTTCCCATGCAATCTGGGATCAAGCTGAACCAAAATCAAGAGTTGGCTGCTCAACAAAATGAGCCACACAGGCGCCCCTGGCTGATGCCTTCAGCTTCCAGCTTCTCCTGCATGGCCCAGGGCTCCATGATAAATCTCACTGGGAGACTATCTCATGTCCCTGCCTGCAGACAAAGAAAGCCAATCCTATGAGCATGATGTTCCAAGAGGCAGAGATCAACTTCCAGGAAGTGAGTGCAAAGGCCAGGCCTCTGGATGATGCTAATTTTTCACTACATTCCCCTACTCCCCAGTTTCCCTTTATAGGAATAGAACCACATGGCTGACAACCCCTTCTGCAAACACACAGGTAAACACATGTTTGCAAACACATGCACATTTACACACTCAGAGACACAGTATACACACTCATGTTCTCAAACATTAATTTATACACTTGCATACATTCTTTCTCATCCTAGCATATTCAGGCTCACACCCAAAGACACACATGTGCACACAGACCACATACAGACTCACACTTACATTCACACACATTCATAATGCACACCCTCACACACACACACCACTGGCTTCCTCACTCTCACAGATTCTATCACATAATTACCAGGTGTATACTCCTCAAAAACATGTTCATAAAAGGAAAACTTTTCATGTGTCCAAGCCTGAAAATGCAAGAATGAGGCCCCATGTCTGCCCCTGTATGCCTCCAACTGCAGACCCCACAAGGACGTTTTACATGACCAGCATTTCAATAGTTCTGTGAGCTCTGGCTGTGGAAATGCAGGGCGTGCCAAGGGGCAATTAATGAGTATTGTAACACAGCAGGATTAGAAGGGCTGGATGGAAGAGTGCACTCAGACATAACAAAATATGCTTGTCATAACAAAATATCCAAGCTGGGTGGTTTAGACCACAGAAAACTATTTCCTAAGAGTTCTTCAGGCCATGAACCCAAGATAGAGGTGTCAGCAGGATTGGTTTCTTCTGAAGCTTCTCTCCTTGACTTCCAGGCAGCCACCTTCTCCGGGTGCTCATGTGGCCCTTCTTCTCCCTTGCACATCTGCTTCCCTGGAATCTGTGTGTCCAGACATCCTTTTCTTGTAAGGACACCAGTCATATTGTACTATGGTCCACTGTAATACCCTCATTTTAATCTAATTATCTCTTTGAAGGTTCTACTTCCAAGTACAGTCACATTCTGATGTACAAGGGATAACAGCTACAACATATGAATTCAGGTGCACATAATTCAGTTCTCTGCAAGAATACACAAAGTGTGGGAGGTGAGCAAGGACAGAGGGTAAAAGGCAACAGGGCTTAAAGGGTGAGGTGTGTTTCAATAGCACTGCAGGATCTAAGGGCACAGGGCACAGAGTGTGTGAGATGTTCAGGGTGTAACACACATCAGTCTGAGGGCATAAGGGTATGGCAGTCATAAGTATAAAGTGGAAAAGAGGGAGGGGGCATCATCAGCAAAAGTGAGTCAAAGGCAGGGCTGGGTAAAGGCCCCTGACAATTCATGTCCACATGGGGCTAAAGAGCCATAGGGTAGGAAGGGAACATTTTGTGGGATGAAAGCTATTTGATGGTGGGACACACACCCCTATGACACTTGCATAGATGAAAGGTAGAACTCTTTATGACCAACAGCTGCACAGGGTAGAAGGCTTCCAGGTGTAGCCACACTGCGGGGTGCACACAGGGACAGGGTAACAACAAGCTATAGCTGAAGGAGTAGCCTATGTGAGGAAGCAGAATGAAGTGAGCTACTTTTCAAGGTTTACAAATGGACTGGTTGATTCGGAAAATATCACAAGTTCCAGAGCAGAAGTTCCAGAGCAGAAAGGCTGTCCGTGGTTGTCCAGTACCTGACAGAGGGTGGTCACAGATGCTGCAAAGTGGCCACAGTGTGAGAGCCCAGTTATGGAAGGGACTGAGGCACGGACGTGGTCAGCTGCTCAACCGGGAGAAGTGACTTCCCTGTACCTGGAACCTCAAAATAGGGTCAAGAGAATATAAAAGGCAAAAACATACGAGACTCTTAAATATGGAGGGTTACTGGAGGGATTGTGGGAGGGGGTATGGGCTAAATGGGTAAGGGGCATTAAGGAATCTACTCCTGAAATCATTGTTGCACTATATACTAACTGGGTATAATTTTTAAAAAATTAATTAAATAAAAATTTTAAAATAAGACAAACAAAAATATGTGACACTTGCTGAAGTATGGACGAGCTGAGCATGATTAGTGGTCCAAGACAAGAGATGTAAGAGGTAAAAGGTGAAAGAGGTAGAAAGGGAGCTGAAACCTTGTTGGGGGGATAATTGTCTCAGGGAAACAAAATGAGTGTGGGCGCTGAAGTCAGCTGGGAAGAGAGGGATGAAAAGATTAAGGGACTCAGGAAAAGGGAAGATGTGGGGGCAGATGTATGGCATGCACAGGGAGCTGATAGTGCCCAATGACTGAGGGCTGGGGCTGTGACATAGAGGACATAGGCACTGGGCTGTAGTCTTTGACCTCTGTCCTCGATGAAAGTCAATACAGATCAACGGGGTGGAAGATGTGTGGGTGACGGTAGGAGAGAGTTCCCTGGAATAGTGCAGGGGATAGATATGAGAGAAATGGAATTCAAAATGGGAAGGGTGGAGGAAAGAAAAGAGAGGGAAACAAACAACAAGAGACTCTTAACAATAGAGAGCAAACTGAGGGTTGATGGAGGGAGGTAGGTGGGGAATGCACTAAATGGGTGATGGGTATTAAGGAGGGCACTTGTTGGAGAGCATTGGGTGTTGTATATAAATCATGAGTGACTGAATTTTACTCCTGAAACCAATTTTTCACTGTATGTTAACTAAAATTTAAATTAAAAAAGTAAAATAAAAATCAACTGGAAAAAATGGGTGCACAATAGAGCTGAGGAAGGAAGTCTAGAAGGGTCAGGTGGAAGTGGCTGGGAACACAAACAAGTCCCGTGCTTGAAGGCATAGGCTAAAGTATTGCAATGGATAAAGACCTGTAAGTGAAGGGTTGGGGGGTTGAGGACAAGAAGTTATAGTGGTGGACAGACGGGCAGTATGGAAATTGTGGGCATGTAGGTCACAGGAGCAGGTAGGAAATTACATTCATTCACTGCATTCATTTACAATCTCATTGACAAGGGCCTTACAGTTTTCTCATGGAAGTTGATACATGGATCCATAGGGAAAACAATGGTAGTCATGTAAAATATCCCTTTAAAACCTTTAATGCGCAGTAGGACCACAGGTGAACACTGAGTGAACACTCCACCATGTCAGTCTTGTCACGGAAATCCAGTTCTTAGAGGGACTGACAACAAGAGACTGCCTGTTTCCTGCTACTGGGCCCTCGGTGTTAGAAAGAGTTGCCATGCTTGGTCCCTTCCCAATACTCACATCTGCACAACTTTTCTGACTCAAGACTTATATGATGAAAGGTTCTTTCTGTATTGTAGTATTTCTAAAACGTCATACATGCTGTATATATGAAATAAACCTAACAAAAGAGCATTGAATAATTTTAAGCACTGTGTTCTTTTGCAGGAAATCATCCCAAGATGGAACCACTGGGGTCACGCTGAGATAGGAAGATCTCCATCACCAGGGGTTACACCATTGGTTATGTTGCATTTCATGGTAAAAGAGGCTTTGCAGATATAATTACAGTTAATAACCATCTGACTTTATTTTATTTTTTGCCTTAGATTAGGTCTTTATTCAAAGTCAGCTTTCCAAAATGATTTTAAATTTATGGAATAAATAAAAACATATAGACCACTTCCCAAATTTCATGTCATCCTTTCTCAGGGGCCAACAAATTTTCTCTGTAATGTTCCAGTGTTAGTTTATGTGCTGCCAAACTAAGTGCTATAATCATCTGACTTTAAATGAGGTAGAGTAGCCTGGATTGTCCAAGTGGGTCCAATAAAATCACATGATCCTTAAATAATACAATCAAAGAGAGGCAGAAGGGAAAGTAAGAGATTGAGAACAGGAAGAATCAGTGTGCTGATGCTGGCTTTCAAGGTGGAGGGCACCACATGGAAATCTTATTTATTCATTCATGGATATTATTATTATTATTATAAATCATTTTAAAAAATGAATTCACTAATATGAATCAGTCCAAAAGAAATTTAACCCCAGAGGCTACAGTTAAGAGCCTAAGTTTTGGCTCAGCATAACAGCCTCAAGTTCCATCCATGTTGCTACACATGGCCAGATTTCATTCTTTCTCGTTGCCATGTAGGATTCCATCGTATAGATAAACCACATCTTCTTGATCCATTCGTCCATTGATGGACACTTAGCTCTTTCCATGTTTTAGCTATTGTTGAGAGTGCTGCTATGAACATTGGGGTACATAGGGGTACTGCCCCTATGCATCAGCACTCCTGCATCCCTTGGGTAAATTCCTAGCAGTGCTATTGCTGGGTCATAGGGGAGTTCTATTGTTAAATTTTCGAGGAACCTCCACACTGTTTTCCAGAGGGGCTGCACCAGTTTCCATTCCCACCAACAGTGTAGGAGGGTGCCCGTTTCTCCACATCCTCGCCAGTATCTAGAGTTCTCTGATTTGTTCATTTTAGCCACTCTGACTGGCGTGAGGTGGTATCTCAGTGTGGCTTTGATTTGTATTTCCCTGAGGAGGAGGGATGCTGAGCATCGTTTCATCTGTCTGTTGACCATCTGGATGTCCTCTTTGGAGAAGTGTCTGTTCATATCTTCTGCCCATTTCTTCACTGGATTATTTGTTTCTTCGGGTGTGGAGTTTGGTAAGTTCCTTGCAGATTTTGGATACTAGCCCTTTATCTTATATGTCATTTGCAACGATCTTTTCCCATTCCGTCGGTTGCCTATTAGGTTTATGGATTGTTTCCTTTGCCGTGCAGAAGCTTTTAATCTTGATGAGGAGCAAAATAAGTCAGGCAGAGAAGGACAGCTACCATATGTTTGCACGTATAGGAGGATTAGGAGGAATTTAACAGAAGATCATGGGGGAGAAGAAGGGGGGAAATGGTGGGGGAGAGGGAGGGAGGCAAACCATGAGAGACTCTTGAATGCTGAGAACAAACTGAGGACTGATGGGTATGGGGGGGAGGGGAAGGGGGGTGATGGGCATGGAGGAGGGCACTAGTGGGGATGAGCACTGGGTGTTATATGGAAACCAAATTGACAATAAACTATTTTAAAAAATAAAAGTATTTAAACTGGTAAAAAAAAAAAAAAAAGAGCCTAGGTTTTGGTCTTCTGACCTGCTGACATGTAAGAAAATGATACGGTGTTGTTAGAATCTGGTAAAGTCAGAACAGAAACTGACTATACGTATTTAACAATAAATTCTTGGGAATTGCCCACAATTGATAGCATTTTGATCTTTGGGTGTAAAAATGCGTTTTTTTGGTTTGTTTACTTGTTTGTTTTTAGTTTTAGGCTTGTTCTTCTTTACATAGTTTTGTAGTACATTGGATAGTGTGGAATTGCATAAATGTACATGTATACACACACCATTATTATTCTATTCTATTCTGGTTCAACATTTACATACATGTCATCATACTGGACTTACTTTCCAATCAAATTGCTCTTTAACCAGGGGTCTATGAAGCAGTTATTATACACCAATAGAAACAGATTTATCACATTCCCTGGAAAACCACAATTTATTCCACAAGGATTATTAATGAATCGTCTTTACTGAAACTTTGTGTATAATATATTTTTTAAAAAGGAGACACACATCATAACATGTGGGTAGTTGGTCACACTGATTTCTGCACATGTGAATTATCCTCGTGGTTCTGGGATGGGGACAGTTTCACCACCATGATTGCACTTTCTCACTGTGGGCACAAATGCATAAACTGCTCTTGCAAATACCTGGAAAATGTCATATACCACCAAGTGTAGACCCACATACCCCAACCTTTATTGAATGTTTTTTTCTTTCTGAAAATCTTAAACCTACATAAAGTTTGCATACTCTTTTTTTACCATTTCATCACAAGTTCCTCTTCATTTGCTGAGGTTTTTGCTGGGCCATGTGAGGATAATGATGAATGGTCAAGATGTTCTTGACCATTTGCCCCTAATATCTTAACATTTGACCCCTAATGTCAAGGTCATTTTATCTAACCCTAACAAACTAACGCTTAACAAATTCATACCACTGTTATACCATCATTTAATACAGAAGCCACATACACATTCCCCCCAGTAATATAATGGTATGTTTTCCAATCTCAGAAATCTGGGATCCAGTTGTGGTACAGGTAATACATTTGTTATCTTGACTTTCTTGTTTCTTTTTTTTTTTAATATTTTTTATTTATTTCTAGGAGAGAGAGACAGCGTGAGTAGGGGAGGGTCAGAGAGAGAGGGAGTCACAGACTCTGAAACGGGCTCCAGGCTCTGGGCCGGCAGTCAGCACAGAGCCCGACGTGGGGCTCGAACCCACGAACCGTGAGATCATGACCTAAGCGAAAGTCGGACGCTTAACTGACTAAGCCACCCAGGCGCCCCTTGACTTTCTTGTTTCTTGAATCTAGAACAGTTGCCACTTTTCTGTCTTCAGTGACTGACTGTTTTGAAGAATGCACACCCATTATTTGCAGAATGTCCTTAAGTGTGGATTTCTCTGATTGTCTTCCTCAACCTCAGCCTCAGGTACAACACTGAAGCAGAACTTCTACACACAGATGGCAGGACCTACTGAGGGCATCACCTCAGAGGCAAAGGTTAGGAGGCTCTTCTATCACTGCTGATTAAGTTTATATGGTTTTGATACCATCTACTAGATCTGATCTTTTTAGACATGTTTCTCTCCTGTTGCATTAATAAGTATTGGCTGGAGAGGTGTTTTGATATTGTTTGAACAGCTTTTGTCTAAATATTTTAGCATCAATTGATGATTTTGGTCTGAACTGATAATCAGATTATGATTGCAAATTAGTTGTTCTAACATTCTACCACCTTTTATATGTGTATTAATGAGCATTCCTGTATTTTTAAAAAGCTCTCCTTTTACCATTCCCCATTGCTGTTATCACAATAGATTCAAGAATTCCTTTCCATTTGCAGCCATACATTATTCTATTTTTTTTTGACAGTCAAATTATTCCAGATTTGTCCATTGGGAGGTTCTTCACCCTGGCTACATACCACCAAGTTTTGTTGGTTATCATTGGGTTAAACTACACAGAATGTAAAATGCACCACCATTTTAGAGTACACACTTCAATAGTATTTCACACGCTCACAATATTGGGCAACCATCACCACTACCTACTTCATCAACCTTCAGGGAAACCTAGCACCAATTAAGCAATACAGCTGACCCCTGAACAACCCAGGTCTGGAGTGCACAGGTCCTTTCACCTGCAGATCTTTTCAGCTCAGTACTGCAAATGTATTTTCTTTTATAATTTTCTTAATAGTATTTTCTTCTCTACCTTACTTAATCATAAGAATACACTCTATAATACATCATATATATAATATGTGTTAATCGACTATTTGTTATCTGTAAGACTTTTGGTCAACACTAGGCATTAGTAGTTACATGTCTTGGGAGTCAAAACTTATATGTAGATTTTGACTTCATGAGGGATGGGCACACCAATGCCTATGTTGTTCTTCAGGCAGCTGTAATCCTCCATTTCCTCCTGCCCCCAAACTTTAGCATCTACTGAATTTGTTTACTTTCTGAATCAACATCACATTGAAGACTCACCTCACACTCTCCCTTCCCTTGCCTGTATTAAACCACTTCTTCAAGGAGTCCTTATTTTTTTAAATAAAGACTGACACTTAAAAACAGAATCTCCTGCAATCTCTATCAAAATAACACCAGCATTCTTCAGAGAGCTAGAATAAACAATCCTAAAATTTGTATGGAACCAGAAAAGACCCTGAATAGCCAAAGCAATCTTGAAAAAGAAAACCAAAGCTGGAAGCATCACAATCCTGGACTTCAAGCTGTATTACAAAGCTGTAATCATCAAGATAGTATGGTACTAGCACAAAAACAGACTCTCAGATCAATGGAACAGAATAGAGAACCCAGAAATGAACCCACAAACGTATGGCCAACTAATCTTTAGCAAAGCAGTAAAGAATATCCAATGGAATAGAGACAGTCTCTTCAGCAAATGGTGCTGGGAAAACTGGACAGTGACATGCAGAAAAAGGAACTTGGACCACTTTCTTACACCACACACGAAAATAAAAAAATGGATGAAAGACCTAAAGGTAAGACAGGAAACCATCAAAATCCTAGAGGAGAAATCAGGCAAAAACCTCTTTGACCTCAGCTGCAGCAACTTCTTACTCAACACATCTCTGGAAGCAGGGGAAACAAAAGGAAAAATGAACTATGGGGACCTCACCAAAATATGAAGCTTCTGCACAGTAAAGGAAACAATCAGCAAAACTCAAAGGCAATGTAATGGGAGAAGATATTCACAAATGATAATATCAAATAAAGGATTAGTATCCAAAATGTATAAAGAACTTATCAAACTCAGCACCCAAAAAACAAACAATCCAGTGAAGAAATGGGCAAAAGACATGGACAGACACTTCTCCATAGAAGACATCCAGATGGCCAACTGACACATGAAAAAATGCTCAACATCACTCATCATCAGGGAAATACAAATCAAAACCACAATGAGATATCACCTCACACCTGTCAGAATGGCTAACATTAACAAATCAGGCAACAGCAGATGTTGGCAAGGATGTGCAGAAAGATCTCTTTTGCACTGATGGTGGGAATGCAAACTGGTGCAAACTACACTGGAAAACATTATGGAGGTTCCTCAAAAAATCAAAAATAGAACTACCCTATGACCAGAAACTGGTCTA